TAAGTGCCGTTGACTAAGTTCAATATGATACGCTCTAACACTGCAAGTGATGATGGTTAGAAGTCTTGTGTTACCGTTAGCAACAAACTCACCATCTTCCTGTCCTTATTTGTGTTCATATAGAATACATATACACCTGGTTCTTCAAATTTGTACACAAATAGCGTAGTCTGTGTACCAATCAGAGACTGAGTCTCCTGTAATTCACGGAATCCACCATAGTCAAATGCTTCATTGGTGTTATACAAATTCTCCCTGCGAACAAAGTGAGTAAATTTACATTGCTATGTGAGACCAGCAATGGTACATGTGTTCTGATTGGTTATCATTTATAGTAGTAATGTTTATTGACCAATGAATTGAAAGCTTGTAATCTCATATATAGAATTCTTATACATGCACTTACATTAATGACAGAAGTGTGTCAATAATCAATATAAGTTGTATTTAATTCAAGTATACAATAAATGGAATTTCTATTTTATGTGCACTTCTTTATGAATACTGTGTTTCTAATAAGATAAATTATGAATACAGCTTTGAAATATATGGACTGAGCAAGTTTGTGAACTTCTCCAAGAAAGAAACATAAATTTTATTAAAATTATAATATACAGAGTTACTGCAAAACTTGGTGAACAAACTGAGCAAGTTGTTAGCAAATGAGGCTGTGTGAGAGCACAGCTGGTTACCATGGAAATACTTACCTATCATATACTGGATAGTAGTCATTGCTAACACTAAAGAGGACAACTTCACCAAACTTGAGACATACAGTGGGGTTGTCCACTCCAACGTAGTTAGAACCTGGTAGTACCGAGGCACCAAATAGTCGTCTACTGGCAAATGTATCGTTTGGATTATAAAATCTACTCATGGAGAATACATTTTCTGCTGAGCGTCTTGCTCGCACTTTTGTCGTATTGTGGTCTCCTTTCAAATTGTCTTCAAACAGTAGCAATGTCTGATCCATGTCAGGTTTATACACACCCAAGAATCCCTTAGCTGAAATGTAATAATGTGAAGAGGTTGTAACAATCCCTAGGCTTAAATGTAACAATGTGAAGAAATTGTAACAATCCCTAGGCTAAAATGTAATAATGTGAAGAAGTTGTAACAATCCCTAGGCTGAAATGTAACAATGTGAAGAAGTTATAACAATCCCTAGGCTGAAATGTAACAATATGAAGAAGTTGTAACAATCCCTAGGCTGAAATGTAACAATGTGAAGAAGTTGTAACAATCCCTAGGCTGAAATGTAACAATATGAAGAAGTTGTAACAACTCCGTTGACTGAAA